TGTTCAGTACCAGAAGATAGATGACAAAAATTTCAGCAGTTAATAAAAAGGAGAGGGCAAAGAGGGTCAAAATCAGCTTTGTGACAGAGGAGGGGCTTGAACTGAATTTACAGGAGCCCAGAATGGGCAGTGGGAGGGGGAGCTGAGGAGTAGGGGCTGAGGAGCCACTTGCTGAGGGGGCTTTCTGCCCTCAGTGGAGCACTGCCTGGTGTCTGCAGTGGACTGGGTGCACTTCTGATTTCAGAAAGAGAAACTTTGTTCCTGAGAGGGGGCGTCATACTTTTCTGTGTCCCAGAAAGCATCCCAAGTCCCACAAGGACACTTGTCTTCATCTCTGGGTCTCTCCAGGTGGCCAGGAAGAGAAAAAGGTTATAAAGAACATAGTGCTCCCTTCGGTCTTGGAGAGGCAGAGGGGGACATGTGGAAAAGAGGGGTTTGTGGACACCTCCCAGGAAGAGTTAGGGATCAGCTTGTCCCCACCCATCAGAGGGCCGAGTCCTGGGCCGTGTCTGTCATTCATTTGCCTCCAGTCAGCATGCAAGACCCCCTCTGCCCTCTCCTGGGAGTAGGAGCCCAGACAGCCTTCGCCTGCCCCTGTCCCCACCTTTACCCCTGCCAGTGCCCCCCAAGAGAACTTGCATGAGTAGGAGTTCCCTCGTTTAGCTTGACTGTGTGGAATTTGAGGCAGCCCAAAGCTGAGGGTCTACCACTGACCTTAAAATCTGGCATCACTCGGAGAGCTGCTGTAATGTCTCACCCCCCACATTCCTGAAACACGTGTTCAGGTGGTGTGAGCTTTTCAGGGCTTATAGGCACAGGTATTTATGATCTGTTCGGCATTTCGTGGCACTGTGAACTTCAGAGCAAGTGTATCCAGAGACCAGAACTCCACATTGCTTTCATATTTGCTTCTCTGAGAAAATCCAAGGAGCTTACTTATCCGTAACAGGTGGATGATGCTGCTGAGACACGTCAGCCTCTCCAGGAAGCCTCCCCTGACCTGCTAGGCAGGGTTATGGGTTCCCTTTGTGCTTCCTATGACCACTCTTAGAGCTCTGTGTTGTAATCGCCTGCTTATTAGCAGATGTCCCCCATGAGGCTGGAGGAGGACAGGAATGGGTCACTGTTGTCTCCCCAGCACATGGCACAGTGCCTGCCATGCAGGATGCACTCAATGAACGGGTATGAAATGAAACAAGTAAGCATAGACCCAGGGTGGGGGCCTGGCACCTGTTGTATTCAGCTCCAGCAATCCCTGAATAATCAAGCAATGGATGACGGTGCCATAACAGTACCTGGGGAGGAACTGGAATCTTCCCATTGTCACTGCTAGGGAAACTGAGGCAGAGGTACAGAAGAAGGGATAACACCGAGAGAGAGAATGCAAGGTTCTTGATATCTGTGATCCCCTGACGGGTTGAAATGAGTCTGATCCTCTGGCCAGGGTATCCCTCCAAGACACTCTCTGAAGCCTGAGTTCTTGACCCCACTCCTCCTGCCAGGTGAGCTGTGCGATGAAGTGATTGACCACTGCGTGCCCGAGATGAACCTCTGTCAGCATGAGGCCAAATGCATCTCCCTGGACAAAGGATTCAGGTACGACTTAGCTTCATGCTTTCAACCCTCAGCACGTGGATCCCTGAGAACTCTGCCTGCAGCAGTCTAGGTTTGAGGCAGAGGTTTGGAGGCTGCGTGTCCATCTGTCTGTCTCTCTCTCTTTCTCTCTCCGCATCTCTCCTTTCCAGAGCTAGAAAAATAGAGCAATCTAAAGTCCAAAGGGTATTTGGTCACCTTCCCTTGTGCAACCTTCACAGCGCTCTGCCCGCTGTGGCTACAGCAAGTTTGCCAGCCTGAGCACCTGTGTGTGGGTGGGGGGTGGTGCAGGAGCACGGAGAGGGAGCGCTGACTCTGTTCAGCAGCCACAGCCATTGGTAGAGGTGTCTCCGTGGCAAGCATCTGAGCCAATAGGAGCCAGGGGAACACAGCAATTCCAAGAGTGGATGTGAGATTGCCTGAGGAAAAGGTCATGTAGTTCCTGAGCCTGAGACTCAGACAGTGCCCCTGGGAAATCCCTCCTGGGCTCTGCTCCCCCCACCCCCATCCTCTCTCCACCCTCTTTCATGGAAACTTGTACCAGGGTTTCTTCTGGGGAAGTCCGAAGACCCTCGAGATCTGGGATTTTTCTGACATTATGGGGAACATTCTAGAACCCTTTGGCCAACGTGACTCCCCTAGTCCCCGCCCTGTCATCCACAGTAACCCCCTCTCCTCCCCCAGCAGGCTCTGTCCAACGCCTGAAGGGAAGCCTCTAGCGCCAAGGAGACGGGGTTTGGGGGCACATCCCAAGCCTAGAGCTCATCACCACGGAAAATGCAGGTGGCGGTGTGTTAGGGCTTCTGGTTTCTCTGAGGCCAAAGGAAGCACAGCATCAGCCCTGCATGCACACACCCCATTCAAATCCACCTTATCTGTCCCTGTCCCCCACTGAGATATGCCAGATGGGACTTTAAGGCAGCTGAGTTATGGGGGTGCCTTCCGGAACCACTTCCCCATCCACTTCTGTCCACTCCCAAAAAGAGAGAAGGGAGGAAATGGAGGAGGGAGGACCATCCCTTTGTCCTGATGTCTCCCATCAAGCTCCTTTGCCCCATCAGTATTCAGAGATATTGCTTGCCTCTCCATCTGGGCCACCTGTACCACTTTCCCCTGCTCATACCACCACCTCCTCTGACTTGAATAGCCTCTGGTTATTATTTTTGCTCTGCCCAGGAGAATACAGCTGATAGGTCCATAAAGATGTACAGGCCTTGCAGGAGGCAGAAGAGCCAGCAAGTGTTTATGTTTGCATGTGCCTGAGCCCCTGGGAGGAATTCGGTGCATTCAGGATTTCTGTGCTGGGATTTCTACACAGGCAGAGGAGCCCAGAGACACACGGCCCACATCACGGAGGCCACATTTCAGCTGGAGCGGGTTTCTCTGGCAAGGTTTTAATCCTCGGCGAACAGAGATGGTGATGGAGCTGCTGATGCGTTGCTCCTCGGGGAGGGGCAGGATCGGGGCGCAGGGCTGAGCTGGGGCAGTAGCTCCCATCCTCTTGCCCGGGGAACATGAGCCATTTATTATGGGAAGGGAGATTTTGCCCATTTTATTTCAATCCTAATCTCTGGGGGGAAAATGAACAAAAGAAAAAAAAATCAAGAGGAGTGCTCGGTAGTGATAATCATTATCATTAATGATAATCATCATTATCATCTTCAACTTCTCATATTGACTGTTTACTCCATGCTTACCCAGAGCTTTCCACAGAGTGTCTCATTTAACGTTTTTCTTTTAATAGCTTTTTTATTGGTTTATTGCAGTAAAGATAAAACAAAACATTTGCCAATTCAACTTTTTTTACATGTGCAGTTCAGTGACATTGGTTACATTCACCATGTTATGTAACCATCAGCACTCTCTGTTTCCAAATTATTCCACCACCATTCACAGAAACTCAGTGCCCCCTCGACAAAGACTCCCCTTTCCCCACCCCCAGGTAACCGCTAATAAACTTCGGTTTCTATATATTTGCCTATTTCAAATAAGTGGGATCATGCAATATTTACCCTTTTGTAACTGATTTATCCCACTCAGCATAAGGTTTTCCAGATTCATTCGTGTTGTAGCAGGCATTAGGACTTCATTTCTCTTTATGGCTGAGTAGTATTCCATTGTATGGATGTACCACATTTTGTTTACCCATTTATCTGTTGATGGGCATTTAGGTTGTTTCCACCTTTTGGCTACTGTGAATAATGTCACCATGAACAATGGTATACAAGTTTCTGTTTGCGTTCCTACTTTCAATTATTTTGGATATCTACCTAGGATTGAGATTGCTGCGTCATATGGTAGTTCTATGTTTAAGTTTTTGAGGAACCATAATTTAATTTTTAAAGCAAACATAAGAGGTGACATTATTTATCAATGACCCCATTTAAAGATGAGGAAACTTAAACTCAGAGAGGTAGTGAGTGGCTAATATATTAGACAAGCGTTTGGCACAGTATGTATAAACTAAATGTTATTATTATTATTATTACTGTATAGGGGGCCTTGGGGAAGTGACGTCAGCTCTCTCTGAGCCCTAGTCTCCTCCTCTTAAGGGAGGATGATAGAACCTCCCTTTCTTCCAGGCCCCAATGAGACACTCAACAAAAGGTACTTAGCTTAGCACAGGGCCCCGCACACAGTACTAAACTGAACGTTAATTCTATATAGAAAGTGGCAGCTCCAAGCCCAAATTTGTGTGATTCCAACCCTGTCGTCCTCAGCTCAGCTCCTGAAAACAAGACCCACTCCCACTTGAAGCAGATAGTCATCAACTTGCAGGCAACAAACGCTGCATGCAGACCCGCCGTGAAACCTAAGGTGGAGCCAGGCTTTGTGGAGCCTGTGAGAGTTGAGGGGAGCCGTAAGGAAATTGGGTAGATTGAGGAGAGAGGGAGAGGTCTCCTGGAGAGAGCAACCACCTGGAAGTTCGCCCGGCCCCGTGGAACAGCCTTGTTCTGCCTGCATTACAGGTGTGAGTGCCTCCCTGGCTACAGCGGGAAGTTCTGCGAGACGGACAATGACGACTGCGTGGCCCATAAGTGCCGCCACGGGGCCCAGTGCGTGGATGCGGTCAATGGCTACACCTGTACCTGCCCCCAGGGCTTCAGGTATGGCAAAGGGCCACCGCAGGAAGGAGACAGCCTGGGCCAGACAAGATGGGATGGGGACTGGTTGGCCAAGGCACCTAGGCTGGAGACCCAGGCCCGGGAGCCCTTGCCCCAGCTCTCACTGGTACCTGTATTCCCCCTACCTTCTTCAACCCTTACAAGTCCCATAAGGAAAATAGAGCAGACGTTGTTAATCCATTTTGTAACTCCATGTGGAAGTTGGACTTAGGTTCCAGCTCACAGAATGTCAAGCTTGGGCATGATTCCATCCAACAGAAGATGCCACCTTCTTGGAGCCCAGCCTGAGAGGTGGGGGTAGTAGCCATGTAGCCACGCTGGCAGGAGTCGTCTTTCTAGCCTGGAGAGAAAAAACAGCATGGTGCCCCAATGGCAGAAAAATGGAGGTGAATGGGAGGGCTGGGGTCAGTCTCTAGAATTATGAAGCCAGGAAGACAAAGGGGAGATGGGAGGCACTGGCCAGGGGGCCAGAAGGTATCTATGGGGGACCTTGGAAGGAAAGACCTGGGTCCCAGTTGTAGCTCCCACACTGACTGTCAGGGGAGGATGGGGAAGGTGGAGAGGATCAGGGCCACACTCAAGGGGGCCAGACTGGGGGACGTTTTCATGTACGTCAGTACTTGCTAGATGACATAAATGCAAATCTAGATCCACTGGATAGGATAAATGTGAAACATGCAAACAAGTCTTGGACATAGACTCCTAGACTGTGAGCCTGAAAGGAACCATGGGCTCCTCAGATCAGTGTTTTTTCAAGCCCCATTTAGAACCATTTGCATCAGAGGCTTGTAAAAATGTAAAGCCCCACCAAAGAGCTACTGAATTTGAATTGGAGGGGCTAGGAATCTAGGAATCTGCACTTTTAACAAACCCCCACCCCCAAGGATTCTGATGACACTGACATTCGGGGACCTGTACTCTAATCCAACCTTATCATTTTATAAAGGGGGGAGCAGGGACCAAGGCTTAAAGCCATTTGCCCTCAAAGCCAACTCCAGCTCGTGGCAACCCCATGTGTGTCAGAATTGAACTGTGCTCCATAGGGTATTCAGTAGTATTTTTCAGAAGTAGATCGCCAGGTCTTTCTTCCAAGGCACCTCTGGGTGGACTCGAATCACCAACCTTTCAGTTAGCGGCCGAGCACATTAGTCATTTGCACCACCCAGGGACAATGGAGGATTAGAGAGGAAAAGGACTTGCGCCAGTTAGAGGTGGGGCTGGAACTGGGTCTCCCAATTCCCATCTTGCCCCACTCTATCTGCTAGGGACTCTTTGGCCAGAATAACTAATTGCTCTTCTGCCTTCCTCCCTTCCTCCCTCCGACATCCTCCTCTGCCCTTCTGCCAGTGGGCTCTTCTGTGAGCACCCCCCGCCCATGGTCCTGCTGCAGACCAGCCCCTGTGACCAGTACGAATGCCAGAACGGGGCCCAGTGCATCGTGGTGCAGCAGGAGCCCACCTGCCGCTGTCTGCCAGGCTTCGCCGGGCCCCGCTGTGAGAAGCTCATCACTGTCAACTTCGTGGGCAAGGACTCCTACGTGGAACTGGCCTCCGCCAAGGTCCGGCCCCAGGCCAACATCTCCCTGCAGGTGCGCCCCCACCCTGCCCTGCCCTTGGGAGGACCCCAGCTTGCTCCCATGCTCTGACTCTTCGGAGAACAGCTGGCATGGCCCAGACTATAGCGTCCTGCCTCCTCCCCTAAAGCGTCATCAAGGACAATACTCAGCTTTGGGGGACATGAGCCAGCTCTGTCCAGAGGGTTCTAGAGACAATTTCTGACCAGCTGTCACTGTAAACAGCAGCCCCTACTTCTAGCCTCATTCATTCATTCCTCTAGAAAATATTTGTTCAACTTCTATATGCCAGACACTGTGCTCAGCAATGGCGGTGCAGTGATGGAACAAGACAGACAAAGCCCCTTGCCCAGGGCAGGATGACAAGGAAACAATGACAATGCTGGGTGCTGTGGAACATACAGGAGGGGCAGTGATCCCACACTGTTGGGAAGAATCAGAGAAGGTTCCCAAGAGGCCATGATATTAGCTAAGCTGGGATCTGAAGGCTGCATAGGAGTTTGCCTGATGAACCGTAGCAGGGTTGGGGACTAACAGACAAGGTGAAGGACAGAGGTAGCGGGGCTGAGCCTGAGGGATCAGCATGTGCAGAGGCCCAGAGGCACAAGCAATCAGGCCATTTTCAGGGAATGGAAAACCATTGAGTATGAGCCAAGTTCTTTTCAGACGAATTTCTTTCAGGTTCCTCACGTTCAGACCTGAGCACGTTTATTCCAAACTACATTTCTGCAGGACCTAAATGCTGTACTCGTGGGCGTGGGAGCAGCCCCCAATAGGATTTCCAAGGAGCGCCTGGTGGATTCAAACTGCCGACCTTTTGGTTAGCAGCTGTAGCTTTTAACCACTCTGCCACCAGAGCTTCAGAAAAAGAACAGGCCCTGCCTATAGGCTTGCTGGGCAGGAGGCACCCTGGAGACACCACTAGAGGGCGCTGGTCAGTCAGTGGCCCATGACAGGTGGGGTTGGGGGCTGCTGGATGATACTTAGGATCCTCCGTCTTTTGGATATGACCACATACACCCAGGTTAGATCTGGAGCTTATGGAGAAAATATTCATTCAACAAAGATCTGTTGAGCACCTGAACATGCCAGGCACCATTGGAGGCACAGGGGTCACAAAAAAAAAATTTCTTCTTGTCAGGAAGCTTGCAGTCTAGTGGACAGGCCTTCTGAGATGAGGATGGCCCTGGGTACAAGTGAGAAGGAAGTCTGGTTGCCCTCACCCTCCTGGGGCCACCTCATTGCCCTACCCTCACTCAGTCCCACCCACCCAGGGACCTCATTATTGGGTCTCAACTAACCAGAGCAGCCCCCAGTGCCCCAGAAATCCAGATATTCTATCACCGCTTACCTGCTGTGCATCCTATTACTGCAGGCTGATGTGTGCCAGGTGGTAGGAGCTGATAGACTAATCAGGTCAGGTATCTGGCAAATGGGTGCCCTCTGGGTAGCAATTTCTGAAACCAGTGGTTCTCAGCCTTGACAATACAGTAGAGTCAAGTGAAGAACTTTGTCAACTATCTTTGCCAGCAGCCCAGCCCCCAGAGATTCATGTTTAATTGGTCTGGGGTGAAGCCCAGACACCAGTATTTGTAAAAATTCCCCAGGTGACTCTAGGCACAGTGCCTGGTTCATAGTAAGTGTTGAATAAATGGTAATTGTTAGCATTTTGTTTATAGTTATTATTATTACACTTTCTCTCTGTACAGAGACTGAGGCCCCCAGAGGAGAGGGCTCGGGTAAGATCACATTATTTGCAGTGGGAGAGACTAGACTGGAGCTCCAGGTTCTGACTGTCGGTTCAGTGGTCCTTCTGTGCCACCAATCAAGAGTCCTACTCCATGAACTCAGGGTGCAGCAGGCATCATGAGGGCTTAGAAGGCAGAAAGAGCAGGGACCTGCAGCCTTTCCCCTGGTACAGGCTGGGCCCCTTTCCTCCACCAACAGTCAAATAGCCACATGATCCTGAGGCCAGGCCACCTGGCAGCCCTCAAACCCACCACCCCACCCAGGCTGGGAAAATACAGCCAAGACCACCATTTCCCAATCTAGTGCTGCTTAGGGCCTGAAACGCACAAAGCTGAGAGACGCGAGTCTCTGCCTCTTACTCTTGCTGCATTCCCACTGTGAACGTCTACTGTGTGTGGTCTGCAGAGCAGGCCCTGGGGAACCGAAAACAAATATGTCGCATTCATTCAACCAACATTTAATGAGGCTAACTCCATGCAGTGGTTAAGAGCTTGGCTGCTAACCAAAACGTCAGCAGTTCGAATTCACCAGCCGCTCCTTGGAAACCCTATGGAGTGGCAGTTCTCCTCTGTCCTATAGAGTCGCTATGAGTCAAAATCAACTCTATGGCAATGGGTTTGGTTTTGTTGATTTTACTCCATGCCCAAGAATGGAGAACTGCGCTAAGAATATCACGGCGACCAAGACAGATAGGAAGGCCCTGACCCTGATGTCGCTTATAGACTAGGGACAAGACAAGCATTAAACAAACAACTCTGCCTGCCATTGTTTAAGTCTGGTTGTGCTAGGTACCAAGAAGGAAATTTCAAGTTGCTGGTGGAGCTCCTCATAGAGCTGGGAGGCAAGGGAGTATCTAACCTAGACTGGGAGAAATCAGGAAGGGCTTCCAGGAGAAAGTGACATTTCCAGCAAGACTTAAAGGGTGAGTAGGCCTTGGCCTGCAGAAGCTGAACAGGTGGTTCCCACCTGAATTTCCAACCTTGTGTCCACTCACTCCCCCCAAACACAAGCACACACATACCTTAACCAGTTGCTGTCGAGTCAGTTCCAACACATGGCAACCCCCTGTGTGTCAGAGTAGAACTGTGCTTCATAGGGTTTTCAGTGGCTGATTTTTTTTTGAAAGTAGATCTCCAGGCCTTTCTTCCAAGGTGCCTCTGGGTGGATTTGAACCTCCAACCTTTCAGTTAGAAGCTGAGCACATTAACTGTTCGCAGTACCCAGGGACTCTTCCCGCTGCTGTGGGGTCAATTCCAACTCATAGCGATCCTATAGAACAGAGTAGAAGTGCCCCATAGGGTTTCCAGGGAGCAGCTGGTGGATTCAAACTGCTGACCTTTTGGTTAGCAGTTGAGCTCTTAACCGCTGCACCACTAGGGCTAATCTAAATGTCAGCCCACTGCGTAGGCCGGGAATCAAAACCGGGTCAACTGCTTGGAAGGCAGCTGCGCTCACCACTATACCACCAGTGCCCAAAACAGACTCTTACACATACCTTAAACCCAAATCCATTGCTGTCAAATCTACTCTGACTCATAGTGACCCTATAGGACAGAGTAGAACGACCCCATAGGGCTTCCAAGGGTATAATCTTTACGGAAGCAGACTGCCACATCTTTCTTTCACAGAGCGGCTGGTAGGTTCGAACTGCTGACCTTTTGGTTAGCAGTGAGCACTTAACCACTGTGCCACCAGGGCTCCTACACCTACCTGACCCACCTCCAAACTTTGATTCATGCTGTTCCCTCTGCTGAGAGACCCCTTTCCCCCATCTCTCATCCTCTTGCTACCAAGGAATTTTCCTATTCCTCATTCAAAGCCTAGGTCAAATCACTTATCCCTTCTATAAAGTGATCCAAGAGCCACATGTGCACCCATCCACTGCTTCAGGCAAAATTAATGGATTCCCCTTCCAAGTTCGTCTACCCATTGCCGTCGAGTCGATTCCAACTCATAGCGACCCTCTAGGACAAGAGTACAACTGCCCCCTAGGGTTTCCTAGGAAACCCTGGCGGATTTGAACTGCCGACCTTTTGCCTAGTAGCTGATTTCTTAACCACTGTGCTACCAGGGCTCCCCGAGTTTGTCTAGACTAGAGCATTATGCTTCATCTATTAGCATGCCCATCACCTACTTCATCGTTGTTTCTTTCTCTATGTGGCTCTGCTGCTATTCTGAGAGTGCTGGAGACCAGCAGTTCTGTTGATCTCCGTAGTCCCAGGGCTGAGTACATAGTATATACTCAGTAAATGCTTCAAATGAATGAATGAAAGAAAGAATGGATGAACAGATTAATCCATGATTAAAACTAATGTGAGTAAATGTCAGTCTAGGGCCTGGGGCACAGCGGCACTCGGAGCCGCTGGTCGAATGAACTGATGAATGAACAATTAGGAGATGCTATGCAGTATATAGACACATGGTGGCACATAGTAGGTGCTCAATAAATAACTTGTTGAATTGCTCAGTCAGCATTTCAGTGACGTGAAAGTCTCAGCCCTGCCTTCTGGGAACTCACAGACTAGATAGAGGAAGAAATGTGGACAGAATTCAGTCCAGGGTGAGATCAGGAGCTGCCACCTGGAAGAGGGCTCTGAGGTGGGGAGGGAGGAAGTTAACCCTCAAGTGAGCCCCACCCACACACCCTGGCCAATCTCTCCAGGTGGCCACTGACAAGGACAACGGCATCCTTCTCTACAAGGGAGACAACGACCCCCTGGCGCTGGAGCTGTACCAGGGCCACGTGAGGCTCATATATGACAGCTTGAGCTCCCCGCCAACCACGGTGTACAGGTAAGGACACGCACCCTCCCCGCTCCCTGCACCCATGTGTCCAGGCCAGGGGGGACTCTGCCGCCTCCCCACCCCCACCCCTACACTCTCTCCTGGCACAGAGTGGGTGGCGGGAGGGGGGAGGCGGTGCTGGAGGAAGAGGCAGGAGAGGAAGGCAGGCCCCCGTGGGGAGATGACACCTCATTACCATAAGATAAATGGCTAGCTGGCTACTTTGCACAGAGCTGGATGCTCCAATGGGGACAAGGCTGCCTAATGAGATGGCCTTTTCAAAATGTCATCCTAATCTTTTATTAGTTTAAGAAAGAAAACGGGGAGATGGGCATGAAACTCAAGGGGAAGAAATTCAGGAGCATTAAGGGAGCAGGACAACTCCTTAAGTGACTTTCAAACTGTTCTCAAGGAGGGTTTTTCCTAAACTCAGGCCTTCAAACCATCGCCATGATTTTGGCCTTATCAGTATGCCAGCCATACTATGGCTGAATATTTTACTTGACATCAATTTTAAATCTGCTCACTTTTTAAATTTAGCTTCATCTAAATCACAGATATGCAGGTTCAATATGTTAGATTTTTTTCTACTTTTCAGCAAAATAATGCATGTTACACGTAAGACATGTAATATATACAGAAGTAATAATGCAATCAATCAGTTGCTGTCGAGTCAACTCCAATTCATGGTGACTCCATGTGTGTCAGAGTAAAACTGCTCCAAAGGGTTTTCAGAGGCTGACTTTTTTAGAAGTAGTTCGCCTTTCTTCCAGTGTACCTCTGGGTGGACTCAAACCTCCAGCCTTTCGGTTAACAGCCGAGCACGTTGACCCTTTGTACCACCCAGGGACATTAATAATGCAATAATACATATTAGATACATAACTATTAAAATAGAAAATGTTCGTCTGTGTTACACCTAGAATTATGTTGCATGCCACCAGTGGAACAAAAGCCATACTTGGGGAAGCCACCGTACAAAGAGAGACTGGCATCTAGAGGCTGCCCCACCCCTTTTGGAAGCAAGAACACATTTGGCTGGGATTAGTGACGAGTGTTCATTTTCAGACTTTTTCCCCCAGTCACTAAACATTTTCTTCAACTGAAACTTTATACTGAACTCAAGAATATCAAATAGATAAATACAACACTTCTCTGCAGGCTTGGAGGGAGCGGAGTCCCCCTTCACACACACCCTCATAAAGACCCCAATACGTGTCCAACAAACCCTGTTGAAAACAATCAGTTTAAACCTAACCAGACCAGTTGCCATCAAGTCAGTTCTGACTCATGGTGACCCCCCTTTGTTGCAGAGTAGAACTGCACTCCATAGGGTTTTCAAGGCTGTGACCTTTCAGAAGCAGGTCACCAGGCCATTCTTCAAGGTGCCTCTGGGTGGGTTTGAACCACCAACTTTTGAGCTAGTAGTCAAGTGCTTAGCCATTTGTACAACCCAGGGACTCCTGGCTTAAACCAGTGGCTTTCCAATTGTGATTCCCCATACTAGCAGCATTAGCATCACCTGGTCACTTGTTAGAAATGCAAATTCCCAGACCCCACCCCAGACCTGCTGAACCAGAAGCTCCAGATATGGGGCCGAGGGATCTGTGTTTTAATAAGCCCGACCTCCAGGTGATTCTGATGCACAGGTAAGTCTGAGACAGGGCTTTGATCCAGTTCGTTCCAGTTCAAACCCCTGCTGAGAATTTGCCTTTCCACCCCAGATATACTGAGTCTGAATCTACAGTTTAGCAAGACCCCGGGTGATTCCTATGTAAAATAAATTCTTAGAACCACTGCTAGTGGGTCTCAGAATTGGTCCCTAACCAGCAGCATTAACCAGAAGCATTAGCATCACCTGGGAACTTGACAGAAATGCAAATTCTCAGCAGTGGTTCCAACCAGAAAGAACCTATTCTAAGCTCTTGTCTGAGAAGCACTAGTCTACAGGAGAAAGCTCCCTGGAGGAGGGGCCATTGGAGTTGCGTCTTAAGGAAAGGGAAGGATTTGTATGAGCAGGACAGGGGGCAAGCCCAGCTGGGAGAGCAGCAAAGACAAGCACAGGAGACACAAACGGGGTAGAAGGTTCCTGGTGGAGAGTGAGTAGAGGAAGACCAGCAAGTCAGGTGCAGTTGGGGATGGGCCAACACCAGAGAAAGGGGCTCACCCTAGGGGCCTCAGTTGTTTGTAGAGTCTGGGCCTTTAAACATCTGTGTCTCTGGAGCCGCTGGACACGGTGGAAGTGGAAGGACAGACAGCCGAGGAGATAGGGCTGAGGGTGGCCCACAAACCAAGCAGCTCCAGCATTTGCGGTCAGATGGACCTGAGTTTGAGCAAGTTACTCAACCTCTCTGTGCCTCAGTTTCCTCCTCTGGCTAATGTGGGTCATAACAGAATATACCTCTTGGATACATCACTGCAGGTTGAGGGTTGATCTAATCATGATCTTAGCAAATTGAGCCTTTACATGAGCATGTCAAGAGCCCAGCTTTCCCCTGCACTCATGTGAGCTGTTGGGTGGTGACTTGGTAAAGGTGGTGATGTAATGGCAGGGATGTTAAAACATTCTGCTGTTACCTAATCAGGGCCTGAGGGATGAAAGGGGAAACCAGAGAATTCCTGTCTTCTAAAGCCCTTGTCAGGCAGAGGGCTTGGGAATCAGAAGGAACTGGGTGTAAATCCTAGTCTGACAACAAATTCGCTGTATAATGCTAGCTTCCCTGATCTCTTAAAAATGAGGTTAATTAAGAATATCTATTTCATAAAGTTGTTGTGAAGTTTTAAATCAGAGAATGCATGTAAATCCCTTAACCCAGTGCCTGGTGCATAGTAGGCACTCAATAAACAGTTCCCATCATTGTTTAAAAAAAAAAAAAAAAACAAAAAAAAAAAAAAAAAGACCCTGTCAGGGAATCAGAGGAGATGAGCACATAGCCCTGGGGAGGCTGCCAGCTCTTTATCCTTATCCATGGGAGATACCAAGTTAAGGATGCCCCTGTGTCTGAGATCAGGTCTTTAGTGCCGTTTAGCTTCAAAATCCTAAAGTCTCCTAGAATCCCATATTAAAAATGGTTCTGCTCCCAGCACTTTTCTCTAAGGCAACCCCGTTTCTGCCCCGGTGGCACATTCTCTCACTCACTCTCTCTCACTCAGTAAACATCTATCAAGCACCTTGTAAGGCCAAGCCCTGGGCTAGGTGTAGGGGACACGAGTTAAACAAAACTTATCCAGGGAAGAAGACAGACATGCAAACAAGCATGTTCCACAGGCAGAATAAAACGATCACTCCCTGGAGACACCACAGGATGCTGTGGGGCCCTGAGGAAGGAGCAGGTATGTCTGCCTGGAGGATCAGGGAAGCTTCCCTGGAGGAAGAGGCAGTGTTGGAGTGAGGCTTGCAGGCCCAGGAGCATTTCCACTGGCCGAGGAAGCCCTGGGGACTGGAGGCCCCATCAGGATGTCTGGAGGAACCAGGAGGCCATCCCAGCCAAATCAGGAGATCCCTTCCTCAGAGTCACGGCGGCCACCTCCAGCCTCCCAGGAAGTCCTTCTCAGCCTCAGGGCCAGAGCCAGACCAAACCTGATCTAACCAGGGGCATGGGCAGCCTGCAGACTTCTCAAGGCCCCACTGAGCAGCCCCCAGAGTGAGAAGAGCAGCCAAGGACCCCTGAAAAGGACTACAGGCCTGGAGTAGCAGGATTCCGTGGCCTCCTTTGTGCCTGATGCCCGATTTTTTCATCTGCCCCACTGTAGTCCCAGGTGGTAAAGAGGGTACTGCAAGGTTCTTATTACTAGCCCCAGGGCAAATACACAGAAAAGCCCATTTGAGCCCCTCTTGGACCCCAAATGGAGACAAATTTCACTATTCCTTTGTTTCAAGACTCGTCACAGGGGCAACCTCACCTGCCAACTAAGCCGAGGTGCCAAGAGGGTAACAGACATGAGGAGAGAAGTGGGCTGGGCTCCGATAGAGAGTGGACTGAGGTAACCTGGAGGCTCCAGACCCCATCCGAAGGGGCAGCTGACCTCAGCTCCAGCAGATGCTCCCAGGTGGGGATGCAGATTCTCAAGAGAAGTTGGAAATTCAGGGTTTCTATGTGAAATATCTTAGTTTCTAAATGTTATCCACTTTAAGACACCTCAAAAGAGCTCTGTTTGGCCTGTAGTGCATGCTCACTGAGCCTTAATTACCACAATCCTATCCATTGCCAAGGTCTTTGCCTCCTTTGATCCTCGCCACAACCCCCAGGCAAGCATGTTCACTCCTATTTTAGGGATGAGAAACATGACACTCAGACAGCCCTTCTCCCAAAGGCCCTCAGCAAGGAAGTAGCAGAGCTGGGATTCAAACCCAAGTCATGCTCCCGCCCAAAACTGCTCTCCCACCACACTGACATCAGGGCAGGAGGGCTAGGCCAGGAGAGAGAGTGGGGGCAGGGAGAGTTCCTGCAGTGGGGTCTGAGGCCTCTGGCTGCCGCTTCCCTGAAACCCCAGGAACTCTTTGTTCCTGTGAGGCTCTACCGCCACCTAGTGGTTACCATTCAGCATCCAGGTCAGCGCAACCGGCACTTGGAGGAATGACGACCTTCCTTATCCCCCTTCGTCTCTCAGTGGTGTAGGGTCCTGTGGGTTTGGGAGACCTGGGTTTGAGTCCTGTTTCCTTCACTTCAACTTTAAGACATCGGGCTGGACACTTTAAGGCTCTGAGCTTTCAGACTCATTGCTAAATTGGGGAAAAAATTGTACCTGCCACCCAGGGTGTTTTAGGATTAAATGAGAGAATGTAGGTCAAGTACTTAGCATAGAGTCACACAATACCTGGCTCAGCACATGCCCACCTTGTTATTAAAAGCAAAAGAGAACTGGACAGGCCCCCTGGCCAACTTTAGTCCACACGCCAGCCCCAGACAGGAGCCTTCCAGCCGAGCCCGACATCTCCAATCTCTCTGCTTGATGCTGGTTTGTTCTGGCCTCATGGATAGCCAGGAAGATTCACAGTCCCCTAAATC